ACTGGGAATAGACGTCAAGAGACCTGGATCCACCAAGACCAGTAGGCCAAGAGGTAACGTGTAACCACATGAACGTGGTCAGTAGGCACACGATGTGGTACTAACACAGGACAAACTGTCCATGCTTAGGACACGCCCTAGGGACAGTAACCTTAACTGTCGTTTATCTTGCTGGCCAATGTTTTTCATTCATCCATTTAATTCTCACAGCAACCTGAGAGGTGGGACTCTTGCCAGCCCCGTTTGACAGATGAGGACGCTGAGGTTTAGAGCCACAGAGCCCCTTACATGGATCACCCCACGAGGGACTCGAGCTAGAGCCCCGCTGTCTGTGACACGGCCCCTGGAGCCCTGAGCACGGCCGTGTGCCACCCTCCCCAAAGTGCAGTTCTGAGTCTCTTCCCCTCGGTAAAGCGGCGCTAACGGAGCTCCCTCGCTGATGCTGTTGGGTGCCCTGGCATCAGTTCCGACTGAGCCTCCCCACGGGGCAGAAGAGAACCGCCCCGTAAGGTTTTCTTTGCTGTCGTCTTTACAGGAGCTGATTGCCAGGTATTTCTCCTGTGAAGTCGCTAGGTGGGTTCAAACCACCAACCTTTCAGTGCTGAGCACTTACCTGTTGTGCCACCAGGACTCGGTGCTCTAAGGGTAAAAACCCATTGCTATCGAGTCAGTTCCAACTCATAGCCACCCTATAGGACACAGGAGAACTGCCCTGTAGGGTTTTCTTAGCTGGCATCTTTACGAGGGCAGATTGTCCAGGTTTTCTCCCATGAAGTATCTGGTTGGCTTCAAACCACCAGCCATTCGGTTAGCAGCCAAGTACTTAACCACTGTCCCACCAGGGCTCCTTTCCTTGCTGCTCCAGCATTGTAATTTAAGGGTTTAAGATGCATGAGACTGTGTTTAGGAGATGACCAAGCGAGAAAGAAGCAGGGCGTTTTGAAGGTTAACCATAGCTAAGGTGGCAGTTTCTTCCGTGGTTTTGAGTACTGGGTGTTGGTTAAGGGTTTTTGTCTATGTTAGACATTTCACCAGAGGTGTGTCATCTATCCACACGGCTCCACGTGGTACCTCTCCTGTGGCCTGGAGCAGGCCCACAAGGGCGGTGTTACTATGATTTTTTCAGAGGAAGCATTTGGGATGCAGAGATGAAGTGACTTGTGCAGCATCACTTAGCAGTGAGGTGGCAGACATGGGAGTCAAACCCCAGCTTTCTGACCCCAGTGCCCAAGTAGTTGGTGCCCATGCAGTCGCACCTGGCTGTCACACCTGGCTGAGGTCCGCTGGGATCCTCTGAGGTTATTGAAAAGCAAGAAGTACATGCCAGAGTCCCACCCTCAACCAGTCAAATCAGAATTTCCAGGACAGAGGTTCTCAACTGGGCTGGGCTTTGCCTCCCGGGGACACTGAACAACGTCTGGACATGTTTTTTGGTTGTCACAATTGAGGAGGGGTACTACTAGCTTGTGGTGAGTAGGGCCTGAGGATATAGGTAAACATCCTATAGCCCCCACCGCAGAGAATTAAAAATCAGTTGCTGTCGACTTGACTCTGACCCAGGACAGATCCATGTTTGTCAGATCAGAACTGTGCTCTGTAGGTTTTCCAAAGGTTGGTTTTTCAGAAGGAGATCACCAGACCTCTTTTCTGCGGCACCTCAGGGGAGACTCAGCCTTTTGGTGACCAGCTGGGTGTGTTAACCCTTTGTGCCACCAAGGCACTTGGAACAAAAAATGGTCTGGCCTCAAACGTCCATCATGCTGAGGCAGACCACCCCTGCTCAAGAATTGCAATCTGGGGTTCGATGTTTTCTAAGTTCCCCAGTGGATGCTAAGGTGCCAGGACTGAGCTGTGTCAGGGCAGCAGCACGTCTCGAACTTGGTACCCCAATCCTTTGCCATCAAGTCAATTCTGACTCATAGTGACTCTGTAGGACATAGCAGAACTGCCCTATAGGCTTTCCAAGGCTGCAGACTTTCGGAAACAGACTGCCACATCCTTCTCCCACAGCGGCTGGTGGGGTCTAACCCCCAACCTTTGTATGCAAAGCCGAGCACTTAACCACAGCGCTACCAGGGCTCTTGCTTCAACTCAGTAGTGGAATCTTGTTGAAATGCAGAGTCAGGTTCAGTGGGGCTGACTGAGACCTGGGAGTCTGCGTCTCTAACAGCTGTTGGGGACTGACGTTTCTGGTCCACAGACTGTCCTTTGAGCCACAAGACTGGCGTTGGGATGAATGAGTACAGAAGTTGGTGGACTCTCATTCTCTTACCTTTCTATCTCTTAATTTTCATGAAAAAAAAAAAAAATCTTCCTTCAGATACGTAGAAGAGGTGAGCCATGCATGCTTAGCAAAGGATGAAGCAGTTGGTCCCTCAGAATTGTGAGGCTTTGAAGGAGGATCAGAGAAGCTGCCTCAGGAAATAGAGGATTTGGGTTCGCAGCCATGTTGGGTGATTTACAAAGCAGCCATCAGGCCAGCTCCTGCCCAGCATCAAAGGCTCTCCCGGCCTGGCTCGTTGCAAGCCCCTGGCCAGCTTGCCCAGTAGTGATGACTCAGCCTTCCCACCTGTCCAGTGGGAGGGGATGGCTCTTGCCCACTCCCCACCCACTCCTGGAGTCAGAAGTGCCCAGCTGTCCATCAGAGGCAGATCTTAAAAGCCAGGGGATCTGCTTTTCCAGGTGACAGGGCTGCTTTTCTCACTTCTTATAAATCTCCATTTATGGCAGCTCAGTTAGGAAGTCCTCACAAAACTCCAATACTGAAGGATAGGACGGATACTGCACCCCGTGCTGGAGACGTTAGCAGAGTCTGGGGCGTGGCCTTCTTAATGCATATCTCAGCCAGCAGCCCCTCAGACCAGCAGCTGGTAGGCTGGGCTCTGGGGCAGAGAGAGGCCAGGCAGAGCCAGAACAGGGAAACTGTCAGCGAGGTTGTCCTAAGTCTCTGGGTTGGTGGTATACTTTCAAGGTGAAGAAGTGTCTGGAAGCATCTGGCTGGCCCACGACAGATTGCCTAAACGTTGCCAAGCACATCATTTGCATAAGGAGCTGTTTGAATGAGGCCCCAGTAGCTTCGGGGCAATGAAGGGGGCTGCTCAGCTGCCTGGAGGCCCAGGCAGGCCCGGTGGGTAGGGTTGGGCCTCACACAGCTGCTGCCCAGGCTCCCGGATGGAGAGGTCCACAGGCCCCTGGCACGAGAAGGCCTGGCCCTTTGCCCAGGACCCTGGGCTCCGGGAGGAACCCTAGGAACCTAGCTGATTCACTCGGGGACGCCCCTCCTTTTCAGCCCACGCTGCAAAGGTGGGGCCTGCGGAAGTGGGTCATACACAGAGGCCGGGCCCTGGTTCCCATCCTGCCTGGAGAACGCAGCTAGGAGAGGCTCTTCATTGTTTCCCACAGCCCGGCTTCGGGCAGAATCAATGGCTGCCTGGAGTGGCTAAGAGATTTGGCTTTGGAGCTGGACAGCTCTGCTTTTGAGGGTTCAAATCTCAGCCTTGCCACATGGCCTTGGTACATGACCTTGGCTACATGACCTTCACAAGGAGATTGTGACCTGATCTGTCAGTTTTTTCCCTAGTCAAATGCCAATAATATTCCTACTTCCTTTCTCAGAGGGCTGCTGCGAACATGCAGGACTTAACACAGGCCTGACCTGTTCGTCTCCCACCATCTTACACTTATGGTATCTATAAATATAAATGTATTGAGAGATATGTCAAGATGTAGTTTGGAGTTGAGTATAGATAGATAGATATCTTTATATGTCAAGATTTATATAAAGAGATATACACAGATCAAGATATGTACTGTATTTTCGCATCGTGTGAGCCCATGTAAATGCACACATGCATATTACATGCATAGCATACATAGGAAACGAATGTGCAGGGAGTTGCACAGTTTGCGGGGGGGAAAACACACACACAACCAAACATTATTTGGTTGTGTGTGTGTTTTTTGCATAAAAATGCAGTAGTTACATCAAGATGTGTGTGTGTCTAGAGAGAGATAGCTGTATCAAGATATGTAGCTGTATAGATGTCTGCGTATCAAGATACATAGCTAAACTGGGATGTATTGATGTGTCAGGGATACTTGTCTATCGTCTACGTACCTGCCTATCTCAGGCACCTTCCCCTAAGTCCTAGGCACTGTGGCCAGCCCTGCACTTACACCAACCACAAAGTCAAGCCCCTTCCTCCTGGGGCTTACCTTGTGAGGGGAGGGAGCCAAGCCAGATCAAGCAGGACCGAAGAGGGGGGAGGCGGCGGGCTAGTTCAGGGAAGTCTCTCTGAGGAGGTGACATTTGAATAGAAACCTGCAGGGAGTGAGGGAGAGAGCCGGTGGAGGTAACAGGGATGACCTTCCAGGCAGAAAGGGCAGCGAGTGCTGTTAGGAGGACACTGGTTGTGTTTGAGACAGCAAGGAGGCCAGAAAAAGGAGAGGAATTCCAGGAATCGGGCCACAGTGGTGATAGGCAGGTCATGGGTGTCTTGAAGACCATGTCAAGCGTTGCGAATGAATTGCCAGTAAGCATGTCTAAAACCTTCAGGAACCAGGCCTTAAAGTTGAAATGCTTGATCCCTTCCAATTTTGCTGATGTGAGATGCAAAAAGAGAAATGTGTGCCCTCACAAAGGAAATCTCTTAGGAAAAAACTGATTTTCCCATTCTTTTATTAAAAAGAAAAGATCAAGTTCTTATCCACCACTTCCTCCCCATAAGGAGAGGCTCTGTGCATTGATTTGTCAAATGAAGCATGTGTTAGAGGAACATTCCCCCTGGGACTTGAGGGCATTTTTCAAGAGCATACATCTTAGAGCCACAGGTGGGCAGGGGGTAATGGTTCCAGGCTGGCAATGGCAATGGGGTGATAAAGGTGGACAGAGCATATTGGGAGCTGGGTTGGGGTGTCACGTCAGTATAAAAGCAAGTGCTACTTCCTGCAGACCTGGACACCTCCTCTCATCACAGGACTTTTCTTTTCCTCCCCCTCAGCCCAGCGGTCTGCCCACGAGTTGCCCATGGTTGAGAGACAAGACATCGACAGCTGCCTGGTCTACGGGGGCCAGCAGATGATCCTCACGGGGCAGAACTTCACGGCTGAGTCCAAAGTCGTGTTTACCGAGAAGACCACAGGTCAGGCAACCTTTAAGCTCTTTTTCTTGTATTCCAGGGCTGTATAAAAGGAGACGTACATTTCTTCTAAACAGCATTGACTTGGGAAATAGATAACATTGTGTGAGTTTCATACCCTGCTCTTTTTACTCACTCTGAGATGTTTCCCCTATCTTCAGAGATTATAATGGAAATACAGCCCTCCAGGGAGGAATGATGCATATTGTATCTTTACTGATCCTGCATGGTTTTGTTGGATGCTAAGATTTTTCATCCTCGCCACTCTTTTTTTTTGTAATTATTTTTTTCATGTGGAGAAGCAATCTTTTGCTATTATCAAGAAGGAATACTGAACAGCATGATGATTAAGTATGTTCTAGGCCTGCATATCTTGGCTTCAAATTTTGGCTCTGCTGTTCGCTTGCTCTGTGATCTTAGACCACTCACCTAACTTTTCTGTGGCTCTATGTCCTCACGTATAGCATGGTAATAACAAAGTTCTTGGTCCATAGTGTGACCACCAAGGTTAAATGAGGTATTACATGTAGAATGATTGTAACAGCACCAGATACATCATAAGCATTTAATAAGCATTGGCTACTTAGGAGCTAGCAGTCCTGCTAGATATACATCTTACAGAAATAAGAGCCATGACATGAATCGCTGTATGCACACCCATGTTCATTCACAGTAGCAAAAAGGTGGAAACTACCCAAGTGGCCATCAACGGATGAGTGGATAAACAAATTGTGGTACATACACACAACAGAATACTATGCAGCATCAAAGAATAATGATGAATCCGTGAAATACCTCGTAACATGGATAAACCTGGAAGACGTTACATTGAGTTGAGTAAGTCCATTCCAAAAGGCAAATGTTATATGAGACCACAATGATAAAAAGTCAAGAAAAGGTTTACACACAGAAAGAAACATTCTTTGATGGTTAACAGAGATGGGAGGGAGGGAAGGACACTAACTAGAAAGTAGGCGTGTATTAAGTCGGATGAAGGGACAGGCAGTATACAGTAAGGGGAGATCAGCACAGTATGACCAAGACAAAGGAAGACTTGGGATGTGTACAAGAGTTAACGGCAACAAAAATAAATGCAATTACACACACAATGTTGCATTAACAGGAACAAAAGCAATCTGTGAATGGAAACACAGGTAGACACGCAGCTGAACAGGTGTGGGAAGGTGAACAGTATACCCGTGACTATAGGTTTGGCAGAAGATATTTATTCACGTATATTTGTATGTGCTGCAAATATGTTCATGTATGTAGTAGAGCATAAGGGGGATTAGGAAAACTTCTTACCCATAATCAACACCCTGAGGGACTGAGTCACTGGGCTTGGGTGCTTAGGACCACAGTCTTGGGGGACATGTAGGTCAACTGCCATAACATAGTCCACAAAGACAGTAGTGACTGAGGTCTTAAAAGCTTGTGAGTGGTCATCTAAGGTGTAACTATTGGTCTCTCCCCATCCGGAGCAAAGAGTGAGGAAAAAAAAAAATCTCAAGGAATTAATCAGTCCAGAAGTCCGATGGGCCATGAGAACCCTAACCTTCCCTAGCCCGAGACCAGAAGAATTAGATGGTGCCTGGCTATCACTGTTGACCGCTGTCATCAGGGTCACCAGAGAATGTCCTGGACAGAGTGGGAGAGAAATGGAGAACAAAATTCAGAATCATAACAAAAGACGAGACTTACTCCCGACCCTGTGGTCGTGAGATACTCTTCATACCTGGAACTGAGCCCGCCCCTGGGGACACCTTTCAGCCAAACAGTAGACAGGCTTATGAAGTGACAATAGCACTCGCCTGTGAGGAACGTGCTTCTCAGATCCATCAATCATACGAGACCAAGAGGGTGGCATTTGCCCAAAAACAAAGCTCAGAAGGTGGGAAGGGACAGAAAAGAAGGAGCCCCGAGAGGAAGGATGAAGAGCTTTTTACACTGAGGGGCTTGGAGCCAGTGCCACAGAACAAAATGTGCGTAAATTGTTGAATGGAAAACAAATCCGCTGTATAAATGTTGACCCAAACCATAGTAAAATGTTCAAGAAAGAAAAAACAAGAGGCATTGGTTACTTATAGTGCTGCAATTACCTTCAATAACTTTGTTTTAGCCTATAATGAACTTTTAGGGTTTATTAATCATATTGTATATGAATCTCTCTGTATCTTTTTTGTTTGTTTAGGCCTGATTCCTAGCGATGGAATTCTAGATAGTGGCTTTTAAGGCTTTGAATACATTACTAATTATCTATAAATTGAGCTTCTGTCTGTCCTTTGTCATTAATCATTCTAGCCCCTCCCAGAAGCACCATTTTTAAAGAAAGTATCTGCTGAATTGATACTTCTTTTTCACTTTGCATTCCTTTGCTGTGAGAGGTTTAATGTTTTTTGTTTATTGGCCCTTTGCCTTCTTTCTTCCATCCACTGTGTGTTAATATCCTTTGCCAATGGGAGAGCAGTCAAAAGATAATCATCTGAAGGAGGCAAAACAACCAGGTTATGCAATTATCTGATAGACGGCTGCTAGAGCTAGTTCTTTTGTTTTTTGTTTTCGTTTTCATTAAAGTGTTCAGCAGGTTGAAAGGGGTGGTGACGCTTGCCTGTTTGTTTACCGTCCTTTGCCTGGTCCAGACTCTCACAGGCGGGCCATCCAGTTGTGGGATGGTGCACTGCACAAGAGCATTCAGATCAGGCGCATCATCTGCATATGTGCTAACATGGGTTCTGACTGGGGGAAGCCATGTCTTGGGGGAAGGCATGCTTTATTGCGGTTCACCTGAAGCCACCTCCAGCACTGTGCTGGCCCTGGAGCTAGCGTGTGGGAACTGCATCCTCCCCCTTTGAAAGCTTGCTGAGAGGCAGAATTTATCTTAAAGACATTTGATGAGGACACTGCAGCAAACAGGCATGAAGTGTAAGGTCTAGGCAGTGAGGAGTGGAGAATGATTTGGGCTCGAGAGTGGTTTAGAAGGCAGAGGGCCTGTCACTGAGAATTTGGTGGCTGTGGTGGTGCTGTGAGGGGTGAGGAACGCAGAGAGAGGGGCCAGCCAACCAGGCTTTCCAGCCCAGCTCTGCTGCTCACCTGTGGCGTCACCTGTGGAAGGGCTCCTTCCTCTGTCCCTACCTGAAAAACAGGGACAGTGACAATGCCTACCTGTCCAGGTGAGGTTTGAATATATCGAGGCAAGTAGAACTGTGCTCCGTAGCTCACATGGAGAAACCTGCCAAAGACAGAACCTGTGTCAGGTGGAAACCTATCGGAGAAGAGAAACTCACATTTCTCACTAAAACAAGCGATAGAAAAGTGGTAAGGCGGCACCCTGTCAGAGGCAGAACGCTTGTGAGACTCAGGGAATGTGGTCGACCTGCTGTGTTCCAGCTCTCACAGGTTTGACTCCATTACTTGTAATTGTTCTTGCCCCGGGTTAAGGTCCAGGTGTGGCCTAATGAATCCAAAGGGTATGTCCATTTTTAAAGGTCTTGAGATGTTTGTTGTTGTTGTTGTTGTTATGTGCCGTCGAGTCGACCCCGACTCATAGCGACCCCTCCTTGGGTTTCCAAGGCAGTATCACTACGGAAGTAGGATTGCCCAACCTTCCTTCCGAGGAGCAGCTGGTGGGTTTGAACCGCCAGCCTTCTGGTTAGCAGTCAAGTGCTTTAGCCACTATGCTACCAGAGCTTTGGGGAAGGCTTATTTTTCAGTTGGGAGTATTATTAAAAATATTCTCTAAGCAAGAATTTGATGAGCTTTCATGAAAGCAGAGAGCAGATTCAAGTGGTTCAAGCAGAGGCCGGTCAACAGAACAGAGAGGTCTCCCAGGGCCACGTAGCAACATGGCCGCATTTGGTCTGCACATGGGAAGGTACTAGGGAGTCATCATGGATTCTTGAGTAAGGGAGTGGCTTGAAATGTCAGTCACCAAGTGAGCATAGCCTTTCTGGCTTTGATGCATTTCTAGGACCAGGAAATGAGCCTGTGGGCTTTCTGCTGACTTCCAGAAGCAGCATATGGCTTCAAAGTGCCTTATTGGCACAGGGGAAGTGCTAATAGGAGACACTCACCATTATTACTTATCTTCACAGTGCTGCCTTCAAGTTCTTTGTTTTTTTCCTATGAATTTCCAATGAATAATTTCATATGCATGTGAGTGGCCTCTTAGCATCTCCAGGTGGCTGTGAGGTTGAAGACTTTTTTGTCCTCTGGTGGGAGAGAGTCGGCTGCAACAGCCACGCTCACCTGCCTGCCTCTTGGACGGGAAGCCACACTTGAAAGAGAGAGCTGGGCCCACAGTGTGAATGCGGGATTAATCTGACCCTAAAGTTCTTAAGCAGATAAGGAAGTTAGAAAATGTCTCGTGTGTTCAAAAGGCCAGTGGTGATTGAGTACCGGGAACCACAAGGCCTGTGTCCAAACTCTTGTCTCTCACGTCCAGGGCAGCAGAGTCTCCACGGCAGGCTGGTGGAGCCGAGCAGGAAGGGCTCAGAGGTTGGGCCCTACCAAGTTTCTCATGGAAGTAGGAGCCAGCTGGCCCTCAACCTGCCTGGAAGCTCACTCACTTTTGAAGCTACTCAAGGGTGTCAATTAAATATTTGTTGATTGAATGAGTGGATACATAAATGAACAGATGGGCAGCATTTATTCTCTAGCTGCTTCTTTTGGTTTCCGAAGGGATTTCACATGTTTACCTCATGAAAGGAGGAAAATAGAGTCTGCTTCACCTTTGAAGAGTTGAGTGTCAACAAGAGTGATAATAACACTTCCCTGTTGCTGAGCACCATGCCTGGACGGGCCCTCTGCCTGGCCTGTGCAATCTCATCTAATCCTCCCGGCATCCATGGGAGATAGGGAGGGGTCAGGGGACTCGCCTGCAGACCGTGTGCACATTGTCCCGTTGCCCAGACTTTCCTGGGGCCTTGGTTTCCCCTCTGTAAATGGAGACAATGACAATTCTTCCCTCTTCCAGAAAAATGCAGACATGGGAAGTGTGTACTTACGTGTC